AAATGTCTGTTCATTTCAGATGCCCATTTTTGGATTGGGTCTTTAAATTTGGGAGGTCTGATCTTTTTAAGTTCCTTATAGATTCGAGATAGTAGACCTTTGTCTGAGGAAGAGCAGGTGAAGATTTTTTCCCACATTGTGGGTTGTTTCTTCACACTGTTAAGTGTATTTTGTAATAGAATATTGGAATATTAAAATAAATGAGTCACACAGAAGAGACTAAAATACATTATTTTTCTGCTACCATAGTTGAGCTGCTTGTAGACCATGACTACTAAACCAGTAGTAATATGGGGGAAAAACTCTCCCTTTTTAAAAAAGTTAACCTTTGATATATTATGCTTTTAGCAATGAGTTTAAAAGAAATTTTGAGCCAGGCGTGGTGGTGCATGCCTGTAATCCCAGGACTCAGGAAGCTGAGGTGGGAGGGTCCCTGCAAGTTCAAGTCCAGCCTGGGCTACATAGTGAGTTCTAGTCCAGACTGAACTACATAGCCTGTCTCAATTCCCCTGCCCCCAATTTTTTTTTTTTAACTAACATTTCTATTTTACATTGAGGTTTTTTTTTTATCCTTCCTAAGCAATATCTGTAGATTATTTCCACAATTATATGTCTCAGCATTTCCCTTAAGATTGTTCTGTATAGTTCACCATTGCTTTTCTTATCTGTGTCCTAAAGTTATAGTTAATCTGTTTTAAATTATTTTAAGATTTTAGAAAGTATTTTATTTTATTTATTTAGTTTTGGTACCCGGAATTGAACTGAGGACCTTGAGCTTTCCAGGTAGGTGCAGCGCCACTGAGCTATATCCCCAGCCCAGAAAGTGTCTTATTTTAGAGAAATTTTTTGCTGGTGGATTGATGACATACCTCTATTCCTACTTGCTGTTCTATGAGGGTGGGCATAAAGCGAATAGGAGTTTACATGAATAGCAGACACTTAAGTGGGGGTGTCAGGAACTGTCGTAAACACTGTGTACAGTACCATCGCATACACCCCATAAGATAGATCCTATTGTACCCCACTTTACAGAAGAGAAAATTGTCATTTAGCTGACCAGGATACATAAATGAAAGTAGCAGAACCAGTATTTGAGCTCCTGCAGTCTGGTTCTAGAACCTCTGCTGTTAACCACTGTGAGACTTCCAATATGCAATATATTCAGTTTATAGAATTTGTTTCTCATCCATTAATTTTGAAGATTAAGAAAAACCTGTCACATTCTCTTTAATCAATTGAGGATGTGAAGAACATGGATTTTTATAGTGTTGTTTGTGTGTAGGGAACTACAGTCGTCGGGAGGGAACAAGAGGCTCCAGCTGGAGTGCCCAGAATACTCCTCGAGGCAACTACAATGAGAGTCGCGGCGGCCAGAGCAACTTCAACAGGGGCCCTCTGCCCCCGCTGCGGCCACTCAGCTCTGCAGGTGTGTGCCCTCCCCACTTGCTGCTGCTGTTCAGATTGTTCGTGTCAGAAGTACACTCTCGCTTGGGGAGGGCATATTTAGAATATTGATTTATAATACGAGAGTCAAGTTTGTATCATCAAATGTTTAGATTCTGAACTGTTTGTCTACTCTGAACAGTTCATGGTGATGTCTTATATTTTAATACTGTAAACTAATCCTTAGGGTACTTTTTTAATTGCAAGGTATTTTGATAACATATCTTCTATATAGTATATGTGTTTGTTTTTGCTATTGTGGGTATAAGTACGTATCATTTTTTGGTACCGGGGATCAAACTCAGGACCTTGGTGCTTTTGAGGCAGGCAGTGGCACCACTGAGCTAAATGCCTGGCCCAGGACATGTTTTTTTAAAAATACATTACTACATCAAGTTCAGGATTTTCATCAGGAATAGCTTTGTTTTTAAATGTATTTTTATAATGTATTATATTTAGCATATAATACATATATACAATATGTATATATGTAATATATATTTAGTACATACACACTTTTATTAGTATTACATATTATATTTAGTATATATCATATAGTTCACCTGCTTAAAATCACCAATTCAGTAATCTTTAGCAGATTCACTGAGCTTTTATATGAAATTTTAAAAAGCAAAGAGCAATTCCTGGTTCGAGAGCAGTGTTGTAGATTAGGATTTATGTAGTGTGAAAGGAGAGGATATGGAACTAAAAACTTCTGTGTCTTGCAGGCTATCGGCCAAGTCCTCGGGACCGAGCTTCTCGAGGTCGTGGGGGACTCGGGCCTTCCTGGGCCAGCGCCAATAGTGGCAGCGGAGGCTCCCGAGGAAAGTTCGTTAGTGGAGGCAGTGGCCGAGGTCGTCACGTCCGGTCCTTCACACGATAAACGCTCTTGGGGACATCCTAAGTGTATACAGACATTTCATGAGGAAATAAAAATACAACATCGAAGGACCAATTTAGACTTAGCTATTATCTGGGGACATCTGAGAGAATATTTTTATCTGAAGAAAGCAGATTTTGTTTGATACCTAACATGAGATTTCAATAAAAATCCAAACTTTGTATGTATGTTTGTATATACTTTTCCCTTTTCTATGACTATTTATTTAGAAAATTTCTAGGTAGAAAGAGAAAAACTAAATGATGTTTTTTGTATTTTTCTTGCTATACCACAGATATTCCCGATCTTTCTCAGCCCATGTTACCTGTTAGTGTCTCAGTAATTTTCCACAGCACATGTAGGCCAAAAGAAATACCTAGTATTTCTGTTTATTATACAGTTAGGTCCAAGCAACTTAAGGATTTACTTCATCACCACTAGTAACTGCAGACATTGTACAGTGTCTCAGACCTTGGAATTAGTTTCATTTCCTTCTTCACAATGCTGCTTTCACAGTGCTTTTTGTCAAACTGCTGAAAGTTTTGCAACAATACACTGTCATGAAAAGGAATACATTACCTAATATGGAAAATGTAAACTACCTCGAATTAGTTGTCTTTGTGGTGTCCAGCAGGTGTTGCTATGTTTCCTCAAAATTTTGATTGGTGATTCCTGTGTTATCTGTTAAGGTGCTCTGGTAACAGTTCGGTAACCGTAGCTGTACCAGAAGAAACAACACACTTCTTTATGTTAGAAATATAAACTTACTCTATGTTTCAGCTTTGGATCTACTTAATGTTATTTTATTATATACTTATTTAAAGCCTAAAATGAGACATCTCCTAATTCTGTAATTTTGAGAATTAGAAACATCTAATAAAAGCTGGACTTTATATTTAGAAATAAAGCTTATAACTTTGAGAAAGTAGCCATATTGTCCCCAGGGTATGTCTTAACACACTGAGCCTATATAACCGGCATAAAATACAGAGTACTCTTTAAAAATAAGTGTATGAGTCTTTTTTTTTTTTTTCCTTGGTACCAGGGATCAAATTCGGGTCCTTGCACTTTCGAGGCAGGTGGCAGAACCACTGAGCTAAATCTCCAGCCCAAATGTATGAGTCTTATTCCATCTTTTTAGCACTGTGTCTTGGTGAATTCTTTGTGAGTGAAAAGAAAATCTCTGTTCATTAGAAAAACACCTTAATAATTTTAGCTCTAAAGATTCAGATGTGTAAGTGAAAAGTAATGGAAATCTTCGCAACTTGTGGCGTTGAAGAGCCTAGCGTCTTAGTTTGCTCAAGCTGCGATAGCAAAATACTGTAGACTGCATGGCCTAAGTAACAAGATTGTTTCACAATTCTGCAGGCTTGGAAGGCTGAGATCGGGGTGCCAGCACCAGTGGGTGCTCGTAAGGCCGCCTTGCTTTGTGCGCCCATGGCCTTTCCACAGTACATGTTTGAGGAAAGAGAAAGCTCTCATCTTTTCCTCACCAATCCCGAGTGCAGGAAAAGGCCTGGCTGGTCAGAACCAGTTACGTCCCAGGGCCCCCTCCTCCGGTATCACACTGGGGTGAGAGCTTCAACATAGGGATCTTGGGGAGCACAGACCGCCAGCCTGCCCAAAATAGCAAGATGACTTAAACCCCATTCAGTTATAAAACTCATAATCTTGTCTTCTGTAAAGAGATCTTTTTACTTATTAGGTTAATTATGTAAGGTAGAATTAGAAATTTGCCCCTAAGATCAGATACAAATAGTATAAAAATAGCTTCCTAGTTAACTTTCTTAAATGAGAACATATGACTGTAGATAAGTAATTTGATTTTTTTAAGCATTCAGCTGAACGTAATCTTTGAGAAACATGAGAGAACTGTTTGTGCCATTTAAATCTTAGATTAATACCCATAGTGCAGTTACCAGGCATGGTGGTTCAGCCTGTAATCCCAGCACTCGGGAGGCTGAGGCAGTAGGATTGCCACAAGTTTGAGGCCAGCCTGAACTACATAACAAGACTCTGTCTCAAAAAACAACCCCCCAACAATACAAAAATATATACCCATAGTGCAGGTCAGCAAAGATAATAGTTTATCAGTGTAGAGGCAAGTTAATGGCAGGCAAATTGAAAGTGACTTAAGTAACTAAAAGTCTATAAATCAGTAAGGAAGTAATCCATTTTGATCAACCCTTGTATGCATGTATTGCTCAGTATATAACAATCCAGGAAAGGAGGCTTAATCCTAATTTTACAGTTGGAGCAAACTAAAGAGTTTAAGCTAAATGTACAAACAGGATTTTTTTTTTTTTTTTTGAGTCAAGGTTTTGGTATGTAGTTTGTAGTTCAGGCTGGCCTTGAACTCACTAGCCCAGGCTGGCCTCAAATTTGCCATGATCCTCCTGCCTCAGCCTCCTGAAAGCTGGAATAACAGGCATGTGCTACCATGCCTGACTCCCATTAATTTCTAAATACCACACAAAAATTAATGGGAGGCAAGCTGGGGATTTAGCTCAGTGGTGCCTCGCCTTCCTGGGAACTGCAAGGTCCTGAGTTCAATCCCCAGTACAAAAACAAAAAACAAAAATTAATGGGAGGTGCAGAATACCTTTGAGAACAAAGCTTAATCTGTAGCACAAGGAGTTGATAGAGTGATTTGTGTTTATTTCCCAAGAAAAAAACTGAAATGCTTCATTTAAAAACTGCTGTTTAGGGCTGGGAATTTAGCTCAGTGGTTCTGCTCCCTGCCTCAGAAGCACAAGGACCCGAGTTTGATACCTGGTATCAAAAAAATAAAAAATAAAAACTGCTGTTGGGCTGGGGATTTAGCTCAAAATGGTTCCTTAGCCTTCCTCGAAAGTGCAAGGTCCCAAGTTTGATCCCCGGTACCAAAGAAAACAAAGCAAACAAAAAACTGCTGTTGCTTAGTTATCTATCTGTGTGTGAAGCATTAGCAAGTCTAGGTAGATTAGTTTTAGTCCTTTGTGTGAAAATTCCTGGAAAAGCCTGCAGGATGAGCATGTAGGAACTAGAGTATGTCTTGAGCATCTCTAGTGACCTTAGCTCAGCCCCAGCCTGTGAAATAGAAGGAAACTTGGAATCTAATGAAGGGAACAATCATGTAAAGAAGGTTTTTTAAAAGAAAAGTTACTGAGATCCTAAGTGGAAAAACATGGAACCATTCAGATTGTTTTTTTTAGAGGGGCCTTGCTATGCTGCCCAAGCTGGTGATCTGCAACACTCCTGGAGATTCATTAGTAATGCAAACTAAGGCCAGGGATTTACCTTAGTGGCACTGCGCCTGCCTGGCAAATGCAAAGTCGTGAGTTCGATGCCCAGTACTGCAAAAAGAAAGAAATGCAAATTATCAGCTCAGCCCAGGCCTTCAGAATCCAAAAGTCAGTAGATGGAGTTCAGTGAGACATGTTTGAGCAATCCTGGATTCTACACTTGATCTTAGCCAAGAGGCTGAGAAGTGTTGTAATCCTGGATTCTGATGCTGGTACTGTATGTGAAATGTAGGGTGGCAGTCTTCTACCTGGGAGCAATCCCCTAGTCCTGTTGGTTTTCATACAACTCTTTATTCAACACATTGGTTTTTCTCAGTATTGGAGATTGATCCCAGAACCTTAACATTGACTGCTTTCCCAGTCTTTTAAAAATTATTTTGAGACCAGTTCTTGCTAAGTTGCCAAGCAAAACTTGAACTTGCAATCTTTCCGCCTCAGCCTTCCAAAATGGTGGGATTACAGGCCTGTGCCACTGTGCTCAGCAAATATTTATTGGGTGTATTCTGTGAGACTGAAACTGTTTTAGAGACGTAGGAAACAAAGTAAAGATCCTGCTCCCACATAAATCACATTCTGAGAGGAATAGAAAGACAATAAACAAGTATATGAAAGTGAGTAGGAAGTGTGAAGAAAAATTATGAGGCAAGGTAGGGGGTAGAGTATGAGATGAGAGGAATGGTGAGCCAGATAAGGCCTCTTTTCAAGATGTTACACGAATAGTGATCTGGATGAAGATGGAGTAAACAGCCATGTTTTAGAATTTCTGGACTTCCCAAATGAGATTAGGTAGTCCTCAGACTCTGAGGGCTGCTTTGTTTCCTAGTCATCTTATTTCTTGCGTCCCAACCCAAAGAAAGGAGTAGTGTTGTTTCCCAGGGTACCCAACCTCAACAGGTCCTAGATTCCATCTCTTGTCACCCTAGCCCTAGGGATTGCCAAAAGCAGAACTCACAAAGAATCTCTTTAAGGATTGGTGAAAGTCTCCAGGGTAATAGCTCTTTAAGCATATATATATGTATATATATATTTATATATATTTTATATGTATATATGTATATATATGTATATATATATTTATATATATTTTATATGTATATATGTATATATATATATTTTTTCCTTTTACTAGGTGCTGTCAGACAACCTCCCCCCACCCCCCCATCAAACTCAAGACCTTGTGCTTGCCAGACAGGTGTGGTGCCACTGAGCTACATCCCTGGTCCAAGGTGCTGACAGATGACACTTTTTTTTTTAGATTACACTTTTATTAAATGACTATACCTATTTACACTCATACCAGCAGCGTGGGAGTTCTCATTACTTCACATTTGCATTAAACATTTGATTTATTATTATTGTTATTTTTTGTGGTACTGGATTATCATCCCAGGGCCTTTGCACTGAGCTACATAGATCTCTAGCCCTTTTTTAAAAAAATTTGAGACAAGGTCTCGCTAAATTGCCCAGGCAGGGCTGGAATTTGCCATCCTCCTGTCTCAGCCTCCCAAAGTGTTGGGATTACAGGTGGGCGTCACCATGTCCGGCTGATTAAAAAAAAATGTATGTCAAACTTGGATAAAACTCAACTAGTGCCTTTTAATTACTCTCTCTCAGACGCTCCTTTTTTTTTTTTTGGTTTTGGTTTTTTGAGACTGGGTCTCGCTTTGTAGTTCAGGCTGGCCCTGAACTCACTATGTAGCCCAGTCTAGCCTGGAACTCTCGGCGATTCCTCCTGCCTCTGCCTCCCGAGTGCTGGGATTACAGGTTTGTGGCGCCGCCACGCCCGGCTGACACCATTGCCTTTCCTTTTTTTTTTTTTTTGGTACCGGGAATCTAACGCTGTCGTGTGTGCCAGGCAAGCACAGTGCCTCAGCTACATCCCCGGCCCGACACTCCTTTCTAATTGCACATTTCTCTAGGCCGGCCGACTGGCACTGGGAAGTGCTCAATAAATACTGTACCCATTAAACGATGTCACTTTCCTGCTTAAAACCATTTAATGATTTGCCAAGTCTCGAAGCGGTCCCCTCTTTCTGAATGTTCACCATTCATCTTTACATTCCGAGAATTTAACACAGGGCTTGGAAAATACCTTCCGGGCGACACTAAATCAATGTCTTGAACGAATGAATGAATGAATATCGTAGGACAATAAATACCTCTGCTACGCACACATTTCCATTATTGCACTTCCACACCACATCATAACTTATTTATTACAAGTCGGGGTAGGTTGTGAGATCTGTAGCCTCAGCATCTACATCGTTGTCCGCAGGCACCAAATCCATATTTTTGGAAATGAACTGTAAATCGTAATCCAATTTGGAAGCATTTAAAGGAAAGCAGACGGACTCAAGCGCAAGGATGCAGCGTCGTCCAATCAGATTGGACCGGCCGAGGCGCCGTAGCGGAGATGTACTGCGCACGCGCGGCGCCTCGTCCGCGATTGGCTGCGTGAAGGCGGGTGTCTTGAGCGCCCAGGGTGGTGAGGGACTGACCATAGGTTTGCGGTTTGTTTAGGTTGGCGAGCAGTGTCTGTCATATTCTCGCAGGTGCGTCCCAGGAAGAGAAGGCTGGGGAGGCTGCGATAACCTGTAGGCTGGTGCGGGATAAAGCGGGGAATGGCGCCGGAGTGGGCTTCTGAGGGGGGAGGAGGGCAGTGGGAGCCGAGCTGTGAAGAGCGAGGATCGCCTTCGCGGTAGCAGGGCTGGCCCGGCGTGGGTGGTGAGAGCGGCGCCTGCGCGGAGAGGCCCGGGCGAACTCTTTCCCTGCACTGCGCTTTTTAAAAATTCTTCTCTGTGAAGCAGTTTCCCCAGGGCCCGAAGGGGTGACAGTGCAAACCATGTAAAAGAAGGATCGCTTTTCTTGGGGGCTTTTACCTAGAAACTGGTCAGTCCCCCCCTCCCCCCGACCTCCTTTATCCTCTTTCTAAAGCCTTTTATTAATTACCTCGTGGAAGATTTTGCAAGCTGGTGTAGCGGAGTCACAGAGTCAAAAGAGAATTTAAGGCATGAAGTGAAGTAATTACAGACTCACGTGGTTGGCAGTCAAAAGGCTGAAACATCCGGGCGTGGTGGCGCACGCCTGTAATCTCAGCACTGGGGAGGCTGAGGCAGGAGGATCGCTGAGTTCGAGGCCAGCTTGAACTACATGTGAGTCCCTCTCGGCACGCCCCCCCCCCCCCCAAATGCAGACACAGCAGCGGAGGTCTCTTGCTGGTGTTTGGTAGAGTTTTATTCTTGCATCCTTGAAATTGGATGGTTGTGCAACCCAAACGGACCCATAGATTCTGGTCATGAACTATATGTAGAACTACATTCTCTACCCCATCCCCACCCCAGTGCACCTTTATTGCTCCTACTTTCATAGGTCCTTATGTATTAAACATCCAACAATAATTACAATTATAGGTAATAAAATTACAGATAATATTCAGTGCTTATTATATGCCAAGACTTACTTAAGTGCTTTAAGTATTTAATGTTCCAAGCAGTCCTCTGTGTAAGTATGAATAAGGTTCTCCTTTTTGTAAGAGGAAATTAAGACACGAAGAGGTTAAGTAAACTACTCAAGATCACGTGCTTGGAAGTGTCAGTCTAGATTTATGTTTGGACATTTGCCTTCAAAAGTGTGTTCTTAATTACTAGGAGATGTTGCCTGTGCTTCCAGCTATTTGATGCATTGCTGTTGTCAGCCTGGACTGGCCATTTTCTTTGGGAGGACTGAGCAGATAGATGTTATAAGCATCATAGAACTGCCAAATAGCTTTATTCACAGAGCCTGGGAAAAGGATCCAACAGAACTAATTTAAAAAGCAATAAGTGCTGAAGTATTTTGGGTTTAATGTACTGATTCCTGAAGTTTACTTTGAAATTCTTCAAAAATGGGAAAAAGCATTTCCAACATTTTATAGGGGAAAGATTGTTCAAAGGGATAGAGGAAAAGAGGACTAGGTTAGCCTGTGGACCTCTGATACTGACTCACAGAGTTTTAATAATACATTATATGAAGAGTGCATATTCTTTTGTGTGAATGTACCATAGTTTAGTACTTTGTTAAGGACATAATTTCATTTTTTCCTACTGTTATACTAGCATGATTTTTTTTTTTCTGGTACTGGGGATCAAACCCAGAGGTGCTCTGCCAGTGAACTACATCCTCATCTTTTAAAATTATTTTATTTGTGACAGAATCTTGGTGCTGGGTGTGGTGGCACACACCTGTAATCCAAGCACTTGGGAGGCTGAGACAAGAGGATCAATGCAAGTTTGAGGCCAGCCTGGGCTAGTAGTGAGTTCAAGGCCACCCTAAACTGCATAGCGAGACTTTTGTCTCAAAAAAAAAAAAAAGAAAGAAAGAAAAAAATAGATTAAAGATATTGTGATTATAGTGTTATCAAAATCAATACAATATATGCTCAAGTTTAGACCATTAAATTTAAACCATGCATTCTTTCCAGTAGCCCTTTATTTTGAAAAATAAAATCTTATTATCTGTTGAACTTGTTTTCTAAGGTTTATTACAGGCTTATTTTCTTACCTTTTAAAATATATCATGGGTTGGCCAGGGATTTAGCTCAGTGGTTCTGCCGCCTGCCTTGCAAGTGCAGGGTCCTGAGTTTGATCCCCGGTACCAAAAAAAAACACCCTATAAAATATATCATGGGGGTTGGAGGTGTAGCGTAGTGTAAAGTACTTGTGTAGCAAGTGTGAGGTCCTGGGTGCAATCCTGTGCATGTGTGTATTCACACACACAGTGTAGTCGATGAAGTAGTTGTGGTGATGAGCTATTTGTACATTGGGGTAATTCTAATCAGACTCATGGAGGACCTGTGTTTGTGGTATTTTTCAGGTCAGTACTACGGAAGATGAGGCGATCTACAGCACCGAGTCAGTTGCATGGAAATTCCTCCAAAAAAGCAAAATTCATACCACCAGGAAGAAGTAATCCGAGTCTGAATGAAGAGATTACAAAACAGAGTCTAGATACAAAGTTAATAGAGGTAAAAAATAAAGGCATCATAAAACATCAGGATGAATTTTTTCTTTCTTTTTTTTTTTTTTTTT